TTGGGAGACCTGAGTGTCTGGAGGCAAAGCCATGGACTGACATTTTAACAGTCTGTTTCTCATGCTCCTTTTGAGCCCTGTGCTCATGTTAGCCCAGAAGCAGGTGGAAGCCTCTGGGAGACTGACCAGGTGGTACCTGGGGCCTGTCCCTTCTATCAGCCACCTGAGGCCCATGTGTGTCCCTGGTATATTGAGGTAAGAGCTCTGTTCTCCACCCAGAGCCAGCACTTTTGGAGCAGAGGAAAACCAAAGGGTGTTTTTCTCATGCCCAGAATGCTTCCCGGTCACCAGCCATAGGCTGACAGACACAGTCACGTGGCTCCAGATGCCCAAGCATGTTGAGGAAGCAGGTGGGTGGGTCTGCAAGTATTGAACGCTTTCTTAGGAGGTGCTGAACTGGACTTGAGGTCAGAAGCGTGGCCATGGGTGAGTGCAGGAAGCCTTCTGTTTCCTTCCTGACCCCTGTTGGAAGCCTCAGCAGGGTTCCTGGTGGCCACTGTTCTGGGAATCAACTAAACCCCCGCCCTGCTGTCAGTGGGCTTGGCAAGGACCTTTCAGGTTGCACCACCTTCCTGCTGAACCTCCCTCTGCACACTCTCCAGTTCACCAGGGTTAAGTTGGGTGCCACTGGTACACCTAATTCTCAAGCCAGGATGGCTTGAGTCAGAATTGGCTTGGGGGCCCCACCTGGCCCAGCTGCTCACAGCTTTTCAAGGATGGGGATAGCTGGGGCTGCCTGTGAAGGCTGGGCTGGCCCTCAGACAAATGAGTCCTTCGGCATTCTGCACACAGCGTCATGTCTGTGGTAATTGGAGAGGCAGAGAGTTTGGAGGAGTGGGAGGGGCAGATCAATCCAGCTCGCTTTGGCACTGACCGCCTGGCCATTCAGTGAGCAGCAGGGGTCAATGCCTGGTGTGAGCCTGTGCCACTCCGGAGATGGAGATGCTTAAGTCCACGTGGTGCATCTGGTAAGAGGCCCATCCAAGACTGCATCTCTGTAGGGGGTGCCACTGGCTTAGAGCTGTAGGTGGCCTTGGTTTGGCTGGGTGTGGATGTGAGTGGCAGAACCTCTGATCCATCATGTTCAGGTTCCTGGCTGGTGCACCCAGCTTCACCACCATTTACTCCATCCTCTGCAAAGAAGGTGCCCCTCTTGTGTTTTGACTTGACCAAGAAGTAGGGGCCAGATCCTGGTCCCAGCCCTGTATGGGCTAGCCCAGGCTGCCAAGCCTGACTTGGGGCTGTACCGCCAACAGGCCAGGCTGCAGTGTGTTCCCCAGTTATCTCGCTTTTTCTTGGTGACCACAGAAAGCCAGGCAGGGCAGCATAGGTATTCTCATGACCCAAACCGTTCAGATCTAGGTTTGCTATGTCCATCAGGGGCCCTGTTGGGCCTGCTTTTTTCTGTCTCTCGAGTGATGGGTGTGACAGTGAGTGTCTGGGATCTTTACTGATTAGCCCCTCCCAGTGGCTTCTTTTGGTCTGGTGGCAGCAGCAAGCCATGGGACTTTCTAGAGTTGTGAACCAAAAGCTGCTGTGGCAACTATCTGGTCTAGTCACTGCATGCCAGCCTGGGTACTGAGCCGAGTTATGCAAGCCCTCAGGGATGCGGACCAGGCTGCTGGGGTGGGGGGTAGGCAGCTGTGGCTCCCTGGGTCCCCTCACAGCTCTTGGACTGCAAGGTGTTCATGGGCCCCCCTGACTGCCTTCTTCCTGAGGGCCAGTGTCTCCCCGGGACCCCTGCAGACTGGCCCATGGGCATAGGAACCCTGTCAGGTGGCTGTTTGGAAATGTGATTTCCCTGTTGCTTTCTTCTAGCACAGCTTGAGATTTGCTTTCCAAAGGGCAGATGAGCAATAGAAAGTCACAGGAGCAGAAGTGAGGTGATGGAAGTCAGAATTAGTGAGCTTGAAGATAAAGCACTTGACACCAACTTATTTGAGAAAAATCAGATAAAAGGATTTTAAAAAATGAAGAAACCCTAAGAATTATGTGGGACTCTATCAAGAGGAGTAACCTATGAGTGATTGGAGTGCCAGAAAGGTGGTGGGGGGGTGGGGGATAACAAAAAATACAGAGAACTGTTGAAGATGTGTTGGCAGAAAACTTCCCTGATATCATGAAAGATGACAAGATATCTATCCAAGATGCTCACTGAACCCCACATAAGGTAGATCCCAAAAGAAAGTCACCAAGATGTAATCAAACTTGCCAAAACCAAAGATAAAGAGAGAATTTTAAGAGAGGCTAGGGATAAACGAAAAGTCATCTACAAAGAAGAGTCAATAAGAATAAGCTCGGACTACTCAGCAGAAACCATGCAGGCAAGAAGGCAATGGGATGACATATGTAAAGCCTAGAAGGAAAAAAACTGCCAGCCAAGAATTATATATCCAGCAAAACTCTCTCTCAAATATGATGGCAAAATTTGGGCATTTCCAGATAAACAGAAGTTCAGGGAATTTGCAAAAACCAAACCAAAATGACAAGAAATACTAAAGGGAGTCCTCCGGTTAGAAAATCAGTAACATCAGGTAACAACCCA